TGGAGCAAGAGAAAGACTTTGATAGGACCCAGGGAAGGACTACGTAACAATATGACTAATCTGGTCAACATTCCCAGCACAAGGGTCAAGGGGGTGATAATGACAGTGGGGAGTGTGAATGGTTTTCATGAATGCCGCTCGAAAGAGCACACGACACTACATTAAGAATAAGCACGGTAAAAAAACTGTGACAGGGAAGGCATGATAGAAAGATATAGGAAATGTGAATAGGCCAGGACAGAAGGGGAGATACCATAACTGTTTAGCACCCGTTTGGTCAAAGGATGGGTTTCACTTGTCCCTTTGACGAGTTGTAATATGGTGCTACAAATGGCGAGACTCACTGACGATGCCGACTACGATGCCGGCGAAACGTCTGGGAATGTACCACGCCCACGGTCCTACTCTGGAAATGATGATGCATACAATGGACTCCGGACTAGGTGCGTTTCTTTAAGTCTTCTTACTCTGGAAACGATGATGCATACAATGGACTCCGGACTAGGTGCGTTTCTTTAAGTCTTCCTACCAATATGGCCATGTTGCGAAAACAAGGTCAAACAACCTCTATACAACGAAAGGAGACTGCGACCACACAAAAGGTTACACCATTCTATACAACGAAAGGAGATTGCGACCACACAAAAGGGCACACCAAGTTGCGAAAACAAGGTCAAACAACTTCTATTCAACGAAAGGAGACTGTGACCACACAAAAGGCCACACCATCTTGGTCTTTTTGCGAAAACAAGGTCAAACAACTTCTATACAACGAAAGGAGACTGCGACCACACAAAAGGCCACACCATCTTTGTATTCCTTCGATTAAAGACATATAGTTGAGCTTTGCCATTGAATTTCACTCAGCCTTGCCCTTAACAAAGTTGTAATCAATATTTATTTCTGGGAAGATGAACTCGACAGACTAACTCGAATGTCTTGAAAACGGATATCCGAAAGAAAGGGTGATGAAGAGATTGCAGGACAAAAAAGGGATAGTGGAAAAAAGAAAGATATACCTACCCTCCTGTAAGTTTAATAGAAAGCTCTAGCCACTGCTAACCAAATGAAACATTCATACGATCCTAAAGGAAAGATAAACTCTTTCTACCAGTTTGTTCGAAGAACAGAAAAGTCAAAAAAATGAAGTGTTCTGTAATTTACTGCATACAGCCTTTGCAGGCTGAGAACAAAGGTACATTAGAGGAAGGAATAAATGACAACATAGCATGTGTTATACTATGGATAGAAAAACAACTAAGTTAGCCGTACATATTGCTCTAACCAGTCACATGATTGGCTGTAATACAATGGAAAGAACAGCCTCACAAGAAAATACAAGAAAAGGGAGGATCATGAAAACTGGAAAAATCCTAATGAAAAAAGTTAAGAAAAGGGAAATCAGAGAAAAGTAATATGAGCTGCGATTCCATAGAAAGT